TTTTTTTTTTTTTTTTTTTTTTTTGTTGAAACAGAAATATTATATATAATATAATAAATATATATAACATGTATTGAAGTAAATATAAAAACATTATATTATTTAATACAATTTCAGAGCTAAAGCAAAATTTAAATACTAGTAATAAAATTGAGGGGGAAAAAAAAAAGAAATAGAATTTTAAAAAGATTATTTCTAATAATTTCTTAAATTTGGACTCTTTTAAAATGTTTGTGAAAATTTAAAAATAAGAAGAATTTTTTTTTTTTATCAAACTTTTTAATTGCATTTTGGTATTTGATCTTTTAAATCAGATCAACTTAAAAAACCCACTTTTTACTTTTTACTCTAATATATTCAGTAAACTTCATTTCATTTTATTTATAAGTTTTCAACTGCAAGGGTATTAAATGAACACTTCGGTTTGGTTTGAAGTTTGAGCTAATCCAATCTCTAAAATAGCAATATAAATCTAACGTATTGTAAAACTAATCTAAACTATCACTTTTGAGTGAGGCCAAATTTGAGGAAAGTTCAAGACGAGCTTGGATTCTAATGTCCAAATAAAATGGCAAAAATGATGCCGAGTTCTCATGAGTCGATACAGCCTAAAAACAATTAGGCATTGACAACTTTAAAAGAGTGCTAACTCGAGCTCGACTCGGTTAATCTAAATCAGAGGTTTGAATTTTGATCTCTTGTTTAAATGGGAGCTCGAAACCAGAAATTTTGAGTAGGTGCTACCTATCGAGGTCGACAAAGAACTCGAATTCATGCATCAGAAAAAGAAGAAAAAGATGCAATTGTTTGGGAAAACTAAACCACCTGAGACTACTAATTGGTTTCAGCTATTAAGGACGCATATGGAGCAAATGGGGCAATTGGAAATAGAGTTAGAGAAGGAAAACCGAGAAAGAACGATACTAACCAGGCAAAATGAAGCTTCTCACTCCATTTTGAGTGCAAAAAGAGCTGGAGGGGAGGATATTCTCTACCAGCTAGACCAAAGTTAGCAATTAACGTAAGCACCCGACCCGATTCACCGACCGCATCGCCATTTCAGCATCTACTCATCAACCCCGAAGCCTTATACTTGAAAGTCATTTTTTGAATGCAAAGGTAATAACAGATTAGCAGGTATGAGAAATACAAATAATCAAATGAACTCACCTTCATTCTCATCATTCCAGATCCATTCTTGATTCTACATTCTCCAGTTCCATTTATCTTAAATTCTAATGGGGGAATTTGGCAATTGGAGAAAAGTGGAGGGCGGCAACCCACAACGAGCCTCCAAGGAATTTGCACAAAAAACTGCCGCATTCTTATGGCCATACTCTACAAACATCCCCAATCTACTCTGGTCCATACAGGTTCAGTCTAATCACAATGCGCTACCTCGTTGTAAAATCACTTCAGTCGAGTCATGTTACCGATTGAAATATTCGACAGACCCCGTGGACCTCTGCAAAATGTTCTACTCCTCTTGAAGTTACTTCCTAGCTACCTGATTGTTATGTAGCGATTTGTACCATGCCTCGCCCAGTGGTCCTTAAGATCCACTGGTACTGACAGATCATGTCCTGCTGCTGCTAGCCGACTAAGCAATTTTGTAAAAACGCTTCCACTCATTTTGCGCCCACCCATGCGGGCATGGCGTTTATTAGGCATATGTGGAAGTGGATACATGGACATATGGGTGGTGCAACACGATGATTGCCAACCCCCATTCCCCCATTTGTAGCACTGCCTTGCAAGTCCAGTGCAGGAGCAAATTGGTGCTGGCATAGAAGAGTCATCAAAACTAACAAGATTCAAACCCACATCCTGACCATCCCAGTCAGTTCTGTATTTTGTGCCATCGGTCGCCGCCTGTCTATTCAAATCTTCACCGACTTTCTTCCTGGGCAGCTTTGAAGCCTTTGATGAAACTGTCTTGTTGTCCTTTGTTTGCTTTCCCTGTTGAGACTTAACAGCTTCAGATGCTATAACTGTAATTGGAAAGGCATCAGTTATTTGCACATCTTTTGTACCATAGGGAGTTTCAGTCATGTTTGGCATATGATTAGATAAATAGTGTGATCGCTTTGCTTTCCGTTGGATCCCACTGCTGAGAGGAAAGTTAGAAGAATTATCACGAATTTGAAGGGCTGCAAGAGCATTGTCTCTTTCCATTAATGCAGTATCACGCTGTGCAAATGCCTCGTCACGCTGCCGTAGAGCCTCATTCCGTGCAGCCAATGCATCATTCTTCTCAGATAGTGCTAAATTTCGCTCCCGAATAGCAGCATCTCTCTCAGCTATAATGGACATGATCTTCTTATTCATGACCAAGGCATTTGGTTCCTTTACATGATGCGGGGGCATCATATTCCACTGCATACATCATTTCCAAATCATTTAATTTAATTAAAGAGGGCATTCTTAATTGGATGCACTAAAAGTAAACATTAAAAAAGACAAAACAAAAGAATAGGAAACTTACAGGCGAGGGGCTCCCTCTGAAATAATCTAGCTTGTGCCTCCCATTTTCATGTTGCCGGCCATCATCCATACTCCAGGAAAATAACGAGCAAGGCAAATGGATTCAAAACACGGGTTGGGGTTCAGTTTGAAATACTTCCACCATCAACTAATGCAGATTTAGGCGACTCATAATCAACTAATCTTGCAGCTCATAATCAACTACTCTGTTGTAACATAAAATATAAGACATCAGCTAGATTTAGGCAATGGGATACATTAACAAGGCTTATCGGCAAAGATATAAACTACGTGAAATAAAACCTCAGCAACTAAGAATGAGTAGTAATACAAAGCCACAAACATATTTAAAAGAAAAGTTGAAACTATAAATTCAAACTAAAGGGAGATCATCTTTTGGTCAATATGAACATATATGATAGAACAACCGTAAAATCATAAAGAAGACTGGAATCACCCCACATCAAAATGAATTTGTCCAGCTACAACTACCAGATAATTCAAGATGATACTTTCTTTTAATTGACAAAGCTATGATCATAAGTTCCAGAGAACAGCAAGAAAGTACAGCATGGCCATATCCAGCATCTCATGGGCACCAAATTCCAACATAAATCATATAAGCACATTCATTCCAGTGCAATATTTTTTGAGCTACTCAACGCAATGTACTTTCAAATACATAATTATTTATTATATTCTTTATTTGATTTTCATGAATTTCTAGGCCAGCTTATGCATATCTCAACTAATCTCATGAGACAACCCCTTACACTACTACATTCTGTCTAAGAAACTTATGCATTCAGTATAACTTGAACTCATTCCCTCTAAGTTATTTATTATTTATATTGAACCTTAAGGATCATCAAGACAACCCACGATGGTTATCAATTACATATATATTCAAAATCTAGAAGTCATATAAATGCATGGTTCTTGTTGCATTGCCCTTACAAAAATAAAATTAAGAAACCAAAAACCTAACCTGGAAATTTGATTCTTTTTACACTATCAAAAGAATTAACAAAATTCTCAATTAAATTATATAGAAGCTGATTAAATTGGTCATTACCATCCGCAGAAGCAATTTTGAGGTCCTATTCCAAAGCAGCATTTTACTTTTAGCATCAAAAGATAATGACCATCGCTCATTCAAGTCTGTAGCAAGTTCTTCAGAGCTTTGAACAGGAGAAAAAAACAAGAAATGGTCAAACAAGAAACAGTGGTAACTATTATTTGCTCATCTTTACCTTAAAAATTAATATAAAACGAGCTCTTATAACATACAAAGTAACAAAACTCACAAATAAATGTCCAACACTATCAAGTCCATAACAATTTCATCAGAGCTCTGAACAAACGACAAAAAACACAAGCTCAGCTGATAACAGTGTCAGACATTATTCACTCAGCTTCATCTTAAAAATCCATAACAATTTTCTAGCATATAGAGCACTGGCATTAACACTTCTCACAGAAATGCACCTGCCACATCCAATTCTAATTCAAAGTAAAAACACACGCATCAGCATTTCCTTCGCATTAAACTCACAAAGGCAGTAAAATTTCCAACAAAAAATTCATAAAAATCGTAACGAGTAACGACAAGTCCTTAAACAACAGTACCAATGTTGAAAACGGCAGTTCGTTCAAAAGAAAATAGAGAAACCGTACCGCAATGAAACAGAAGATGAACCAGCTCAATCTCCTCCAAATTAACAGAACGAACAAAAGGACCTAACAGCTGGAAAAAAAAAAAAAAAACAACAACAACAACGAAGTAAACGCCTGAACCGAAGAAGAACAAACACAGAATCCAGAAAATCGGATATGCATGCACTAGGAGTGACAGAAGGCTAGGGTTTTGGAGGATAACAATTTGAAACCGGAGAACCAAAAAATTGAGCATGAGAGGAAAGAGGAAGTGGAAATGGAAGAAACAAAAACTTACAGATGCAATGGCGAGTGGATATGGAAGGCGAATCTTGATCTGACTGCGATGGCAGAAGAAGAAAAGAAGAAAAGAAGAAAAGAAAAAACTTTGTTTGTCGTGATTGATTAAACACAGTCGGAGAAGAGAGAACAGAAGACGGAAGTGGCGCACAAATGCTGGTAGCTTCATTTGATTCAGCTTCGCCAATGGGCCTAAAGCCCAAATCCGGAAGCCCAACACTGGATCCATCTTCGTCAATGGGCCTAAAGCCCAAATCCGGACGCCCAACACTGGATCCAACTTCGTCAATGGGCCTAAAGCCCAAACCCGGAAGCCCAACACTGTATCCAAATTCGGCGGTTCAGTCCGGTCTGTTTATTCATTGAATATCGTACCCTATATTATTCGGGTTGGGTTGTTTAGTTGTTCAAATAATATTTTGAAGAAAAACGAAAGAGCGAAAGTGAGTAACGAAGAATTGAGCTTCTTCATGTCAGTCTCGGTGAGGTGAGCCGTAAATCATAAGGTGAATAACTGTTGAAAAACGAAGAGAAGCAATTTGACGGACGACGAAGCTGCTAGACGATTAGAAGACGAACGAGGAAGAACTTAGAATGAGTTGGACGACCAAAAGGCGAACGAAGAAGGATGAACGATGAAGAGGAACAAAGAAGTAAATGAAGAATGATGATTCTTTTATGATCGAGATGGGTCGGGTTGACCCGATCCTTTATCCACTGAACTAGTACCTAACTCGAATTGGATCAGGTTCTAAAAAAACCGAACCCAACCCTTATAATTTGGGTTTGATTGGGTCGGATTCTCGTATTGAATGTATCCTTTATCGAGTATTTTTGTTTTAAGGTTTTGGACAGCGTCATATAATACTCGCCAGAGGACAACAAAATTAATATATATAAATAAATAATATATATATATATATATAGATATGTATATATAACCCTAATCTGAAAGGTGTATTCGGAGCTTTCCCTACAAAATTCCCCACCATGACCGACAAAACTCACCGAACCGTAAATGAACAGACGGCGTTGTTAGCATCTACATTTGCATTTCCCGAAGAAATCCTCTCGATCACGTCGCGAATCATTCAAAATGACGACTCAGTCTCTTTTCTTCTGTTTAACTTTCCCTAATTCGTCTCTCCGCAGCGTCAATCTACTTCTGTTCGACGTTAGTTTCATTTCAGACATAATTCCTCGAGAATTCTGCGAAAATCAAGCATATTTGTTCTGATTCCGTCTGGATTTTCAGCGAAATGGAGATCGGAATTGTTTGGCTTATCAGAGCTGCTTGGATTGCAGGAATATTGCCTATACTTCTAGCTCTCTTACCTTTCTCCAGACTGAGTTGGTATCGTCGAACTATATTGGAGTTTGCGAAGAGAGGGAAGATCTTGCAATCTTCTTCTAAGGTAAGTGGTCGAATTGTCAATTGTCAATGTATTCGATTGTTTATGTTCCCCCAGCCTCACTGGTTAGAATGTATGTTTGGGCCTCAGCTAAATTTTACCTGGACAGTTAATACTTAATCGGGCTCCACAAAGTTTTATTTGTCATTAACGTTGGATTTTGATTCTAACAAGTTTGCTGTTAACCATCATTGGCCTAACAGTTATAAGGATTATGAGAATCATAAAAGCTTGGAGGGAATTGATTTAATCGACTTGTTTCTTAGTAACCAAATGTAGAGGGTTCAGATACTTGTATCATGAACTTGGTCAAAATGTGCACAAACTGTCTGAACACTCACAATTAAAAAAATGGGTCTGTTGTAATACTGCTATTTGAATATAGAATTTACATGTTGATTAGATTAATGAGATTCGAGCGTGGTAGTGAGTGGTACAAGGTAATTGGTCAATTAGATTAGATTAGGGAGGGCATACCAAAAATTTGATGAACTATTATTTGCCAGCGACCTGAGCATATAACTAGTTAAGGTATATATCATTGATTAAGACTTCAAAGGTTCTAACTTCACTCCCACATGTCATTGAACGTAAAAAAAAGTACTATTAATTTGCTTTAAGCAACTTCCTATATATCACCCATCGTTCTATCAGGTTAGATCATTATTTGTGAGTATTCGACATTAATATTTTAGAACTAAATTTGAAAATTCAAGACATAAGTACATAGATATTATTAACACAACCGTTTAAGCTGTGGAATTAAACCTATATTTTAATAGTTCTGAAATTTTACGCTCTTCTTATTCGCCCATATTCTTCAAATTCAGAAATTCACCGTACCTCAGAAATTCTTCTGCCACTTCTATGTGTGGGCTGTTATCTGGACAGCATTATTGCTAGGAACAACTTGGATGTATGCATATGTATCTACCCCGTTAATCTCAGAGCCATTTAACTTTCCTGCCATTACCAGCCAGTTGACTGGAGGTTCAAGTCTATTTTCATGGCAAAAATCTCATTCATCTGGGAGGGAGCACAGATTCCTGGTCTGGAAAGCTGTTTTTCTGCTTTTATTAATGGAAGTTCAAGTCTTGAGACGTCTTTATGAAACGATATACACTTTCATTTATAGTCCCTCAGCTCGGATGCATTTCTTTGGATATTTAACTGGCTTGTTGTAAGTAGCTCTCTTTATTAGGTTTTGTTGCAATACATATCCGCTGATTCTACTATGGCTAGTTTTGGTATTTTGGGCCCTGCTTTAATATGCCGTGGAATGACCGAATACTAGAAGCAAGATAGAAAATCTAGGCGTTTCATCATGAAAGTCATGTGTATTACACTTGTCCTACAAAAATTTCATTCTACATCCAAAATAGCCGGATATGAATTTGTTTTCTGTTTGCATCTTAGGATGTGAAATAGGTTTTGGATCAATTTGAATTTTTCTTTTGTTTTTGTACTTATTTGGCTTTTTATATCAATCATATGTAAGAATGTGGTAGGCTGCATTCTTTTGATGGGCTCTAAAACTTTTCATACATAAATTGCTGGATTTTCGTTGTTATTTGTTATGTTTTAATCCTTACATCTAGAGGTTTGATATGTTGATTTCTAATATTTTCTATGGTTAGTTTCTACACAGCAGCTCCTCTATCACTTTGTAGCAATTGTATTCCGGAAGTGTATCATTTTGCTACAAATGGGATAGCTCAGTTCATTGTTAAAGGCAAAGGGCAAATGCTAGATGTTGAAGTTAGTCTGTTGGATGCTGTGATTCCTCTAGCAAATTTAGGGTGGCGTCAGTGGATTGGTGCAGCTTTATTCTTTTGGGGTTGGATTCATCAGTTTCGTTGTCATCAGATTCTGGTACAGCACACCTCTTCAATACAAAATTGTTTATTCACATATCAGATTTATGATCTTGATGATTGAGTTTGAAGGTTTTAGTAACGGAACCACTTTTTCGTCGGAATCAAAAGATTTTCTTGATTGGGTATTATGTGTGAACTTTCTTTATGAATGCCACCATACATTTAACGACGCATCCTAGATTCATTTGACCGATACATATCAAGTTAATTTGTTTAGGCCTCGCTGCGAGTACCTGGAGAACAAGGTGAAGAATATAAAATTCCTCATGGTGATTGGTTCGAAATTGTATCTTCTCCACACTATCTTTCTGAGATCGTAAGTTTCTCCCTCATGAACTTAAATACAAGAACTGTGGGTTTTCTTGTCACTAAATCTTAGCTATTACTGATCGGTTTTGTCTGTCGTCCTTTCCCTTTTAAAGGTTATATATGGTGGGCTTGTGGTTGCTAGTGGGGGAGAAGACTTAACAATCTGGCTAATTTTTGGATTTGTGGTGAGATTTTTATTTTTTCTGAGAATTAAAATGCAGTTTGATCTGTTCTTCTGTTTGTTCATATTCACCAACCATAGTTCTATACTTGAAACTGAAGATGGAGAAGGTAATAATCTTCTGACTTCTGATGGGTGTTTGCAGGTGGTAAATCTGGCCTTAGCAGCAGCAGAAACTCATCGATGGTATGTTCGTAAATTTGATAATTATCCGAGAAACCGGTTTGCTATTATACCATATATATACTAAGCTATTGTGATGTTTTCAATTCTATGTCATAATGAGTTAGGTTGCTTGTTTTTAATTCCTCAAGGTAATGATAATCATGTGTATAGAATTTCTGCACTGCACTGGAGTTGTAGTCCATATATTTGGTGGCCTGATTGCTCGTTCAATGATTAATTAGGCTGATTATGGAAACAGAAAAAATTAATAAAATTGCGACCAGTTTGAAGTATAGTTCTCGAATCAATTTGGGGTTTATAGTATAGAATTGAAATGAATTGATTGGTTTGATTCTGATGGATTCGAGTTGGATAGCTGATTTGTTTCGATTCTCATGAACTAGTTTCAGTGTCAACTTGAGCGGCTGAGCATAGTTCTATTGGTTATAAACTTTCGATGAAAAGGTTAGAAGTTTGAATATTTTCATTTGTACGGTAATAGTTCTATTGAGTAGATCCATGTCCTCTTTTGCAAGCTGAAAATAAAAACACTTTGAAATTTTCTTTCGATCTCTCGGGTTTTTTTGATGTCTTCGGTATAACAACGGTGTTCCTTTGGACGCCCCACACTCTTCCTATGTTTCTTAGTGAGTCCCTATCAACCAAGAAAGAGGCTAGATAGGAATTGCGTACGAAATAGCGACGAAATAATACTCAAAATGTGTTGAAATTGATCGGCAACTGATCTTGAAGAAAGATTTTACATGAAGTGTTTTCTTCCAAACTACTTATGTTATTAGGAGTTCAATAAAAGGGCACTAAATACATCCAACTATTATATCCAACTATTATAGTTGATGCTTCTTTAAGCTACCCTTGCTGGCATAAGAACAGGCCCATGTGGATTCTTAGGATCCGGAATTCGGATTTAGCACTTGATGATCCTGATATTCCACTACGAGAAAAATTAATAGGAATACATTCAACATGTACGCTCAACCATAAATTTTTATGATTGAGTCACCGAAAAGAAATGTGCGCATTGTTGGTACGGGTAGCGACTTTCAATCATTCTAATCCTTTTTTAGTCAACTTATCCTCTCAATTGCTCTCATTTGAATGAGATATCAGATCATTCGTATATCTCTCATTTACTCGAATGTCGGATTTTAAGATTACTTTGTGTTTATCTTTACTACAAATTTAAG